CCACCCGGCCACCGGTCTCCGGTCCGGGATAGGAGGAGCGTGCGTAGTGTATTCTGTCTGCCATTTCGCTTCGTTTCATTCGTTTTAAAGGTTTGTATTGATTTCAGAGAGAGGAAGGGAAGGGAGGGAGGAGAGAGAGAGAGAGAGAGAGAGAGAGAGAGAGAGAGAGAGAGAGAGAGATCCGTGATGAGAGAGCATCATGGATCGGCTGCCGCCCGCACGCCCCCCACAATGGAGCCCACAACCCGGGCCTGTGCCCTGACCGGGAATCGAACCCTGACCTCCTGGCTCCTAGGTCGATGCTCAGCCACGGAGCCACGCCGGTGTGGGGAGTGCGGGAGGCAGCCGGTCCATGATTCTGTCTCATCTTGGATGTTTCTTTCTCTCTCTCTCTCTCCCCCTTCCTCTCTGAAATAAAAAAATAAATATATATTTTAAAAAAATAAAAATAAAAAGGCCCTAACCTGGATGGCTCAGTGGACAGAGTGCCGTCCTGCGGACTGAAGGGTCCCGGGTTCGATGCCGGTCAAGGGCATGGACCTTGGTGGCGGGCACATCCCCAGTGGGGGGGCGAGGGGAGTGTGCAGGAGGCAGCTAATGGATGTTCCTCTCTCATCGATGTTTCTAGCTCTCTCTCCCTCTCCCTTCCTCTCTGACATAAAATATATATTAAAAAAATAAAGAGAAACTGTTCAGCAGCACGCAGGTGGCCCTGTGAACAGGGAAACATACGAAGGCCCAGAGAGACGCAGGGACGCGGGCCTGCAGGACTCCGATGCCCCCCGGGGAGCCGGAGCGGGCAGGGCCCTGCTGGACGACCGGACGGGACGGGAAGCGTTAAGCTCACGCCTGGCGCTCACCCCGGAGCCTGTGGCCTGCTGTCTGCTCTCTGCGGAGCCCCCAGCCCCCGGCTGGGGGGAGGGTGGCTCACAGGGGGGCCGTCTGGCAGCCCCAGCAGCCGGGGAGCCCGGGCCCGGCTCCGGCCTCCGGCCTCCGGCTGATAAGGAATCGCTGCCCGGGCATTGCCGCGGGACGGACGATGCTGGCGTTTAAAATACAGCCGGGGCGTATTTCACGTTCGCTCCCCTCTGTTTTCCTTCCGCCCTCCTCCCCCTCTGAAGGCGCATTTGTCTAACGTCTCAAGCTCATCAGAGAAGACACCACCGAGTTCTTCCCCGTCAACCTCTGCCCGCCGCCGCCCCCAGGCCCCCAGGCCCCGGGAAGGAGGTCCCAGGCGCCCCCGTCGCCGCCATCTGAGAGGTAAAAAACGTTATGAATCACCCCCTCCTGCGAACTCACCTCAATAACGACGACGACAAGGCATCCCTCCAAGCATCCATTCTGGCTCCCACAGGCCCCGCTGGTTACAGCGATTGCCACGGTTTCTTGGCATCAGAGTCAAGGTCACGTCTACACAGCGCCGAGGATGGGGGACCACCTCCGTCTCCTTTAGGCTGAGGTGCCCAGTCCCTGGCTGCCTTCTTTCTTGGGATGGATCTGATGGAAAGCCCGCCCTTTGTTTTGCTTCGTGAACTCCCGTGGCTCCACTGAAGATATTTTTAAAAAATAGATATATGTTGTTGATTGATTTTTTAAAAAAAATATATATTTTATTGATTTTGTACAGAGAGGAAGGGAGAGAGGGATAGAGAGCTAGAAACATCGATGAGAGAAAGAGAGTCATCGACCAGCTGCCTCTTGCACACACCCCCCTACTAGGGATGTGCCCGCAACCAAGGTCCATGCCCTTGACCGGCATCGAACCCGGGACCTTTCAGTCCCCAAGCCGACGCTCTATCCATTGAGCCAAACCGGTCTCGGCTGTTGATTGATTTTTTTACAGAGAGGAAGGGAGAGGGAGACCCAGAAACATCGATGAGAGAGAAACATCCCTCAGCTGCCTCCTGCACACCCCCTACCGGGGATGTGCCCGCAACCAACGTCCATGCCCTTGACCGGCATCGAACCCGGGACCCTGTGGTCCTCAGGCCGACGCTCTATCCACTGGGCCACACCCGTCAGGCCTCTGCGTCTTTTTATCAGCCAGGTTTGAAGTGCGTTTGCAGGCTTACACGTGATCACAATCATGCTCAGGCCGCTGGAAGGTGTGTCTGCCGCCTTCTCTGGGGGATCGATCTGTATTGATCTGTATCGATCTGGGAGGGCCATGTCGGGGGCCGGTTTTCAAAGGTTTTCAAACACAGACACCGTTCCCCACGAGATGATGTACGCTTGACAGCCCCATCCATCACGCGACAGGCACACAGGCCCGAGATGCCCCTCGCTCGCCGCACGCTGATTACAGGGCTATAACTCACGGGGCCCTCACCGGACCCGTGACGGCGAGCCGTGCCCCGCGGGTTATTTATGCCCGTGTTATCTCCACGGGCGGGGCGGGGCCGGGGGATGCCGCCCCAAGGCGGGATCCCTTATCTGCTCCGGGCCCGCTCCGAGTGGCACCGCCCGGGCGGCGTGAAGCCAGCCAGCCAGCCCCGGCGGG